CTATAAGCATTGGGACTGCTCCTCCCTGCTCCCTCCACAATACCCACTTGAGCTCTCTTCCCTGACATCTGTCTTGCTGAATCACGGCTCCATGAATGTTCCAGGACCTCCTGGGAGCACAGCTGTTTCTTTGTATCAGGCTTTTCCTCTACAGTAGAGCTTATATCCTTCAGCCATCTTAAAAAGAAAGGGTCTCCTATGATTGGGAAACCCACAGAATCAGCTGACCCAAGCTACTGAGAGAGATCACTGACTCAGGTCTGACAAATGGGGAACCTGCATAAGACTGAACTAGACACCTTTAATATAGGTGACACTGGTGTGACTGGGACAATATATGAGGCCACTGGCAGTGGGTCCAAGATCTAACACTAAGGCACAAACTGACTCAGTGGAGCCCGTTCTATATGGAGAGATACCTTGTCCAGCCTAGACACTGGGTGTGGGGGTGGAGAGGTGCCTTGGCCCTGCCTCAACTAGATGATGGGACAGACTTAGTAGACTTCCTAGGGGAGGACTTACCCTCTCCATGGAGCAGATGGGAGAAAGGGGGGGTGGGAGGAGAGGAGGGATGGGGAACTGGGATTAGAATATAAAAAATAAATTAATAAAATAAATTTTAAGAAATTATACAACTTTAAACACAAAAAGGGTCCCCTGTTTCTTCAAAAGTCCCTTCACTGGTCACCCCGCTCACTGTATGAGTTTTCTTAGTCTGGAGGCCAAAGGCATTAAGATGGCAGTTCTTCCCTCCTGCCTTCATTTCCAATGCTATTTTAGTAATCAAAACCCTGCCATGAGGAGCACTTGCTGTGAGAAGCAGGGAAATGAGTGTTATAAATAGGAAAGATCCTGGGTACATTCATCTAGAGGAAGCCCCAATTCATCAACTACAATATGATAGAAAACTTGAAAGATATATTTTGACACATATACCAACATTTTCCTTAATAAACACAGTCATGTAAAAGCCATGGCTCTGAACTAGGCCCCCTGAATGTGGGTGTCAGTTGGTGGGGCCTGGGCAATCTACGGGGCCTCTGGCAGTGGAACAGTAATTATCCCTAGTGCATGAATGGGCTTTTGGAGCCCATTCCCTATGGAGGGATACTCTCTCAGCCTAGACATATGGAGGAAGGCCATGGTCTTTCCCCAAATGATGTGACAGACTTTGGTGATGAGGAGTGGATGGAGAATGGGATGGAGGGATGGTGCAGGGAGGGGAGGACAGGAGGGAAAGAAAACTGGGATTGGTGTGTAAAATATGATTGTTTTAAAAAAAATTTTAAAACATCTTTTTAAAAAGCTATGGTTCTATCAAAATTTTCATAATAAATTTGGCATAAGATTAATTATTGAAGAAACTTAGCTATTCAGGTATCAGATGATCACTAAGGTTAAAAAATGATAACCCCTTAGCAGAGTATTGACATATAAGGCAAATGCAAACTCTGCAGATGGAGTTTTCCTTACTTAAATGTGAGCTAACAAATTTAACTCTTACTTAACACTATTCTACATGAAATGGTTTACTCTAATTGCCTTTTGGTTGCCTATGCAATGAATAAATCATTTAAGTAGAAAAAAAATCACCTCTTCTAGACTGAGTCATACCCTGGATTCTGGAAAAGGAAGAACCAAAGCACCCATTTCTTTCTTCACCTTGTACTTCTTAATTTTACCTATTCTGGAGAAAAGCTAAGATATGTTTCTTTGAATTTACTCCCTTTCCTAACTCTGGAGCCCCATATGCATAACCTAATCCAGATGTTCATATCACTGTGGAACTTGATGTAAGAGGAGCTAGATAAATGGTACTTTATGCTGAAAATTATGCCTCATCTATCTCAAATGATAAATGTACATTTGGTCTTTTGGTTTATTTTGTTTTCATTTTTGTTTTGTAGTGCCGAGGATAGAATCTAGAACCTTTGTGCATGCTAACCAGGTGCTACACCACTAAGCTACTTCACCAGCCCTACATATATACTTTTGTTGATATAGAACATACTGAGAACATGGAAGCATATCACTATTGACTGGTTTCATGCATTTAAAGATATTATTCCTTTGGAGAAAATAAAACATTTTCTTATTTGTTATAATCTAGTCTTATTTACATTATATAACATAAAATTTTTTAATCCAAAAGAATCTAGAAAATTTTTAAGTCTCATTTATAGCTACCAATAAATGGAATCATTTTAATTGTACCTCATTGGTACAATTGTACCAATGTACCTCTCTCCTAGGTGCCTGGTGGTGCTACTGAAATCTAAACCTCAGAAAGGTCTCTATGGATATATTTCCATAATCACAGGTATATTTCCAAGGTCAGGTTGATGGCACATATACAGAAAAAAACAAAACCATTTAACAGAGCAAAAGAAGAATTCAGAAATGTTTAAGTTCTCTATAATAAAATTTTCCATGAGGCAATAAAAATGATCTCATGAGAAAGTAAACAAGAAGGAGAAAAGAAGTGAAGAAAGAAATGAAACAAACTGAAAACCTGGACAATTTGAAAGTCCAAGCCAATGCATATGCAATCAGCTTTTACTTTCAATTCTTCGAGGGAAGCTATTACTATAACATATAGAATGTAACTTTAATCACATAATATAGAAGCAAGGTAGCAGATGAGAGCAATTTGGTAACATTCAAAGCAGGACTTTAAGGTGGGTGTTCTAGTGTTTCCTAACCACTAAGCCCTTGGAACAGTAATAAGTGTTTTAGAAATAGATGGTCAGACAAGCTAGGAAACTGTCAGCTTCAACAAAACTGACTTGTTTTGTGTTTTTCTATTGGACTTCAAAGCCTCTAGTGGGTTTGTGTGCACTGTTAATCTCCTAGTGGGGGTTAGGTGAAATGGTTTGCAAATTATCTGACTACAGAGCCCTATTAATATCTACCAGATTGTTTCATTCCAAGTAGTTTTGGAAACACTCTGATGGCACATGCAGGTAGCTATTTAGCTGTTCCTAGTTTAGCATGGCACAAAACTAAATACAACCACATGTTTATTACCCAGGACTTTATATATTAAATAGATGTGTCCCATTTACAGTGAACAAAGGAGAGCAAGAGGAGGGAAGTAGTCTGAGGATTCTCTGCCTACATTCCTCACACACATGCTCCTGTTATCTGAAATCTGGAAGTTGGGGTTGAGTGCTGGGCTAAGCGCTTACATTTTTCTGGGAAATCTGGTAGATAAGGAAGTGACTTATTCATTAATGTTGACTTGAGAATCCCCATTCTCTCTGTCAAATCTTTCATCATTAAGTCCCAAGCAGGCAAGATGCTCCAGGCAACCAACTCTGATAAGCACAACTAGTAGTAGCAGTGCTTTCCAAACAACATCCCAGAATGCCTGCTAATGTTATTGTGACCAAGCCCAGGTTTGCTGTTGGTGCAATGTGGGAGTCTCAGCTTTTGCCTTCTACAGGAGGGTGTGCAGAAAGTTTCAGTTACAAGAGAGCACAACAGATCTACTCTCTGTCTTGATGTAGATATACTTAGACTCCCAGGATTGAGAGAATGGGTATGTAAAGACTTGCGTTTGGGAGAGGCTCTACTATTTACTAGTTATAGCCCCTTGGTTAACTTGCTTAAACCTGGCATGCTTCAATTTTCTTGTCAATAAAAAAGAATAATATCCTGGGTGTTGATGGTGCATGCCTTTAATCCAGCACTGGGGAAGCAGAGCCAGGCGGATCTCTGTGAGTTCGAGGCCAGCCTGGTCTACAAAGCGAGTACCAGGATAGGCTCCAAAGCTACACAGAGAAACCCTGTCTCGAGAAACCAAAAAAAAAAAAAAAGAAAAAGAAAAATGAATAGTATTAGTACATATTTTATAAGGGTTTGGGGAATAAAATTATGCAATTAAAGTGATCAGTGCAATGTCTGGACTGACAGAGGAGATCAATTAACACAACTAATAATTTTGAAAGAGCACAAAGTATAGCAAAAAAAAAAAAACTTGGGGTAGAACTAAGGTTTGACATTAGACAAACAGCACAGACTCAATTACCACTTTTTGATAGATCAATTTGTCTTAAAGCTTTAAGAATCCTCACTTGTTTATATGCAGATCAGGAAGAACTGGGCTCTCTATAACCCTTCAGATTGAAGCAAAAAGCCAATACCTCACAGTATTTGCATCTGCTGATTGATTGGCTGCTAAAGACCGTGTAACTGTCTGAAGAAAGGACAAGTAAATGTTGCAAATGGTTTAAGACTGACCCTGAGACTAGCCACGTGGAGAGGTATGCTATGATCCACAAAGCAGTAAAATAAAAACTGTGACTCTCTGTAGAGCAAATTCCCAAAATCTTCCACCAACAGCTAGAAGGGCTCTTTTAAGACAGAAGTTTACTTGGTAATAATAATGAGTGATCTACACACTATGTACACTACTCTATGAATTTACTGCCCATTCTCATTTTCAAATATTGATAGGGAAGGCCATGGTAGCACAGGCAAAGGTCACACTATTAGTTTACAGGTAAAACACACTCTCCCTCTCCAGCTGTTTCAGGTTATTAATCTCAGTGGAAAAGGCATCCTTAAAAAAGTACTATAGGCCCAAACCACAACACTAACCCCATGCTAAGGGTCACTTTTAGTGTGTGTGGAATTGACACAGCTCCTAAACTGCTGCTGAACATATGGTCACCCAGGCTACATGTACTATACAGAAAAACCATGTACCCTGACCCCAGTTACAGACACACTCTTTTTACTTCTCCTTGTATAGGAAAACCACAAAAAAAAAAAAACAGCAAGAATGAGAACTGAAAGTGTGGCTGGTAGCATACTAAAAGAAAAAAAAAAAACTCCATTTATATATGAGGCTGTGAAGCTACTGGAATTTGGAGACATTGGCTGCTCTCTATTTTCTTAATCCAGAAATTATCTGGAGACTCCGATGTGGTGATTAATCCTTGCAAAGCAACATAGTGGTAGGACAACAGTTTGCAGAAATCAAATATGTCACCTACCTGTGTTGGACAAGGTCTTGGAGGAAGTGCCGGTGGTGCGTGTAACAATCCTGAGTTAGCAGCTGAAAAAAAGAGAAAACTGTACTGTTAAGAACCATCTTACCCTAAAAGACAAAAAAATGTATTCAGCTAATAACAGTGGCATTTAACATGTTTAAGTTTATTAAATCCCTTTGAAGGCTTAATCCTTTCAGCTATAGCAAAATTATGTTATCAGCTGAGGTATCCATAAGTAGATGATGGATAGAGAAACTGTGGCATATATATACAATGTATTCTCAGTCAATAATAAATAAGAATGAAATTATGTAGTGTGCTGGAAAATGGGTACAACTAACAATCATCAAATGAAGTGAAATAAGTCAGACTCAGAAAGTCAAACACCATATAATTTTTTCTCATTTATGGATCCTAGATTGTACATAGATACATATAGATACATAAATGCATGGGAGTAGAAAGGAAACTAAAGAGAGCAGACCCACCAGAAGGGGTGAAAGGGAGGGGGCTAACAGGATAGAAGGGGAAGGTGATCATGGTCAAAGCACATGATACCCTTGAAAGAAAGAAATTAACATACCATGAATATATTCTAATAAATAAAAAAGAGTGCATGCTATTTCTAATCCTCTTTTCATCTTACCCAAAATTCAAGTATTTACATAACTGGTACTGATTAAGACAGGATAAAACAGTAAGGAAAACATTTTTTTAACAAAAGACTGGATTTAGCATGGAAAATATGGTCCTTATTCTGATGTTAATTATTCAGTTTTCAATAAACCAGGTTCAAATTAATGGGGTCAGAAAGAATCTTCTTTGGGTTCTCGTATTTCTCACTAGCTTTCAGCCATTACTGCTCATTAGTTTAGTGCATAGGCTGCAGAAAGAAAGAGGGCCTGACCTCAGCCACTCTGCTCCCTGTGAAGTAATGGGGTATCCAGCAGTAGAAGAAACCAAAAATAATGGACTGACTTTACTTATTTCAAAGATCTCTCTCTCTCTCTCTCTCTCTCTCTCTCTCTCTCTCTCTCTCTCTCTCTCTCTCTCTCTCTGATCATTACTATCAAGGATAACTAAGCATGTTTCTAAAATAACCTGACCACATCTAAAGGATCTTTTTAAAGAAAGCTGAAGTCTAAAATTTTCCTCAATTTTACAAGATACAAAGAATATATGAGGAAGCCAAGAACATCTGAATTCTAACTTAACAATGCAAATAAACAGCTGCTATGGAATTATAAATAAAATCCAGATCACACACAAGAAATAAGTTTAAAACAATAGCAAGTTAAATCACATTCTTTACATACTATTCTGAAAACACCATATCTATGTAATTGTACAGTTTATTCAGAAATCTGTGATAGCTGTGCTAATATTAGACAATATTCAGTGCCTTAAAAGCAAGTAGCCCCCAAAAGGCCCAAGGACCATCATGGAAGAGAGGTAAGAATAAACTGTAAGTGCCAGAGATTGGGGAGAACTAAAGCAAAACTGTATGTGTCTTCTACTCTTGACAGGACTGCTGCACTCATGAATTAACAGAAGCCATAGTTGCTACCCAAGGCCTGCGCAAGGCCAAGCCAGTCAACATTCCAGCATGGAGGGTGAAGGAACTCATGAAGATCAACTGACAGTAGATGGTTTCTGGAGGACAGAGAGTCAGTTTTCATTCCTATTTGGCCCTTGGTAGGTTCACCATACTCCAGTGGATGGCCCTATACCCAGAAGTATTTGGGAAGCACAAATTAAACTCAGTGGATTATTAAAAGGGGGTACATGAGCTTGGGGGAGTGAGAATATGAGTCACAGATCAGGGAAGAGTGGGAATAAATATGATCAAAATACACTGAATGAAATTCTCACAGAATTAATAAAAATATTATATTTTAAAAAACAAGTAGTAGTAATATATCAAGAGTATATTCTTGTAATTTTATACTTATTTGGCCTTTCTGGATCAAACTGGCATAAAGATGGAGCTTGGTGCTTTCCACAGATGTAACTCAAAATAATATCACAGAAATGTTTTTTTCTTGGCTAGTGCATGAGTCCACCTAGGATCTGCTTTCAATTACAATTTGTAAAACACATCAGTGGGGTATAACTCCACGGGCTGAACAGGCATCAGTAATAGCATGCAGCAGAAGAGAATGTCCACAGCCATAAGGAGAACACATCTGAAGGCCCCTATTGTACAGGTCCTCACATGCTAGGGCTTTGAACAAGTACTAGTTACTCTTAAAACAAATAGACAAGCAAAATTTGTGCACATTTCCAAAGAAAAATCCAAACAACTATACTAAAATAAACAGTGCAATTATCAAAAAAGGGACTGCTCAAGAAATGATACGCCATTTAAATAAACTGACTCAACTTCCAACCAAGATGGAGTAATAAAGGCCACATGTCCCTACCCAGCTGAAACAATCAAACACAGAAAAACATAAAACAACAATTATCATGATATTGGAACAAAACATATAAGAACAGTTTTTGAAACACAAGAAAACTAGGCAACAAAAATGGTGACCTCTGAGAGACAGGAAACAAAAAAAGGAGGGGAGCCCTATGACTGATCCCACTCACTGTCTTGAGAGCTACTAGAGAAATAATGTATATCCATGTCTAGGTCTGATTATGCTTTTTTAAGAAATAATTATTCATTTTTATTGGTTGGCTTCATTGGGAAAACTGCCCCAAATATAAAGAAACAAATTTAAGTTATTAAAAAATTAAGATCATTTAAAAATGGAATCTTAAAATTAACATGGGTACACACCTATAATCCCAGCACTCAGGAGCTGAGGCAAGAAGTATGCTACATGTCTGAAGCCAGTCTGGGATACCGATAATGAGACCTTGTCTCAATCAATCAAACACACACACACACACACACACACACACACACACACAGCCATATTGCAGTTTCTCACAACTAAACTTCAAGAAGTCAGACAGTAGCATAGGGTTGTGTGCCCTCTTCAATCTAAATCTTTTAAGAAAATGCATTTAGTAATGTTCCTTAGTAAATACAAAGGTTAGGGGGAACCAAATATACTGTATCATAAATATTAACAGATTTGTTTCCCCTTTTCAGTACCTTTACTACTTTTTTCTAGTTGTGCATACTATAAAGTCGTGCATACGAACACATACTATAAAACTGAATTTATTTTTATTGTGTGTGCACTGCTGTTTTTCCTACATATATATCTGTGAACTACATGAACACAATGCCTGGGGAAGACAGAAGATGGTATCAATCCCCTGGGAATGGAGTTATAGACTGTTGTGAGCCACCATTTAAGTTTTGGGAATTGAACCCAGGACCTCTTGCCATAACAGCCAATGCCCTTAACCAGTGAGCTGTCTCTCCGATCCCAAGGCAGAATTTAAATGGTGATAATGGGAGCTGGGCAGTGCTACTTCACACCTGTGATTCTAGCACTGAGAAGGCTGACAAATAGGATCTTAAGTTCAAGGTCAACCTAGGTTATGCACCAAGACCCTGTCTCAAAACAAAACAATTTTCTAAATGGCAACAATGGGCATATCATTCTCTTTCTTTCAAAGAGAAATACCTATGGATTCACCCAACAGTGTTTTCCATAGGTTAACTGTAGATGTCCTTTAATAGATTATGAAAATTACCATCTATTCTTATTTTTCTATTTTTCCCATGATAACTTGATGGTGAATTTTACCTAGCACCGCAATTGCATCCACTCATATGATGGCATGATTCCCTATAATAGACAATGTGCTAAATGGCATTATAGATTTTCTAACATGAAAGCAAGTCCTAATTCAAATTGCTCAGATTTTTCTATCTCCTAAGTAGAGTTGGCTAATATTTTATTTAGGACATTTTGCAACCATATTCATAGGTGACAAAGTCACGATTTTCCTTTCTCATTTGACCCTTGGTTATGCTTAGAACAGGTTATATAGAATAAGAATTTTTTTTCAAATATCAAGTTAAAACTTTCTAGTAGAGGCATCTGGAAATAAGATTTGTAGTTAATGGTTACATTCATTTGTTACAGGAATATTCAGACTTTCTCATTCTTAAGCCATTTCTGGAAAATTGGGTTCCCTGAATGTTTGTACACTATACTTAAATTTTCAAATTGATGTAGCAATTGATCTTGTTATGATCATCTTCACCTCTGCATATGTAACTATGTTTTCCCACTCCCCATGTTGTTTGTGTAATTGCTGTAGTTTTCCTTCATTAATCGCATTTGATATGTGCTATGTATTATATTGCTCTTTTTAAAACACCAACTTTTAACTCTTACAATTTTGATGGCTATTCTTGGTTGTTAACTTGACTACATCCAAAATTAACTAAAATCCAAAAATGGAGGGCACACCTGTGAGGGATTTTTACTTAATTAGAAGTAAAAAAAAGAAATCCACTTCCTTTTTCTTATTGTTTTGGTTTGTTTTTGTTTATGGTTGTTTGTTTTGTTTTTTCGAGACAGGGTTTCTCTGTATAACAGTCCTGGCTGTACTAGAACTCTGTCTGCCTCTGCCTCCCAAGTGCTGGGATTAAAGGCATGTGCCACCACCACCTGCTAGAAGATCCACTTCTAATCCAATCTTTGAGGTAGAAGGACACACCTTTAATCTGAGCCAAACCTTCTGCTAGAAGCCATGAGCTTTTACTCTTTGCCTGTTTGTTCAGGCCTTGCTAGCAAGTGCATTTCTTCACTGGCATTAGAGCCTACTTCTTCAGGATTCTAGCATCTACTAAAGACAAGCTGAGATATCTAGCCTCATAGACTGAGCAACTACTGGATTCTTTAACTTTCTGTTCATAGGCAGCCATTGTTAGATTAGCTGGACCAAAGCCTAGAAGTCATTTTGATAGATCTCCTTTCTAAATAGAGATAGATTCATTCTATAAAGTTCTGTTACTCTAGAGAAACCTAACTAATACAACAATCCTATATGGTGTGTGCTTCTTTATATTTCATTAATCTTTCATTTACATGCTTTGGGGCTTGTCTTGTTCTACCTTAAATTGGTTGATTAGATTATTGCTTTATAA